AAAAAAAAAAAAAAAAAGTCTTATTGATTGATTTTTTTAGAGAGAGAGAGAAACATCAAGTTGTTGTTCTACTTATTTATATGTTTATTGGTTGCTTCTTGCATGTGCCCTGACTGGAGATTGAACCTGCAGCCTTGGCGTATTGGGGCAATGCTCCAACCAACTGAGCCAACTGGCCAGGGCTAACTTCTCACCTCTTGGCAGCTTGGCCTGGGCCAGAATCCTATACTGTTACACCTAGAAGGCCTTTTTTGTACACATGTTAAAGGCCCGGAGGACTTTCCTGGGGTCTCACTGTTATTCAGTACCTTCCTCAATCCTCAGGTGACACATTCTAGCCCTGAAATACAGACCGGGAAAACTAGAGCCCCAGCACTGCCCCTGCCCTGCCCATCCCTGCTCATCCCTTTAGGAGAGTTGCTGAGAATCTCATACCTCAGAAGTCAGCAACCCCAACTTCCCTCTGACCCTTATTGGAGGAGTCGGCAGAGGCCCACAAAAGAGTGACAAGCCCACAGTCACACAGCAAGTTGGACAGTGCCAGCTTGGGGCCAGCTCTTTCTCCAGTTCTGCCCACCCAAGAATTTTGTTGCCCAGCGGGGGTCCTGCCCACTGGCCCTGCTGCCCCCAAACCCTCAGTGACTACAGCCTCTGCCTTCACAGGGCCTGGAAATCCACACCACCAGCAACTGCCTGCATTTTGTGTCCCGAGTGGGCACCCAGGTGATAGCCCCATACCTTTTTCAGCCACCCGCCCCTAAGACCCTTTTACCTGCCTGCCAAGCAGCTTCACGCCCCAGGAGGGTGCACCCTCTGAGCCCCACCTCCCATACCAGGTCCCCTCCAACTTTCAGCTGCAGATCCTGCCTGGAGATGAGATTGTGCAGGTCAACGAGCAGGTGGTGGTGAGCGAGGGGGGAGATGGTGGGAGTGAAGGGGTTACTGAGGAGGACCCGGGCGGTGGGTGGAGGAGGGACTGTCCGTGAGACCAGGGTTGTGGGAGTTGCCTTAGTGAGGTGAGCCAGCTCACACAGGCCAGAGCAGCCTCAGCAGAGCCAAGGCAAAGGGGCTCACGGAGGCTTCCCGAAGGAGGATATGAGGCAGAGCAGGAGGCTGAGAGAGCTCTCCAACGGAGAGGGCTGTTGGGTTGCTGCAGAGCCTCCTGCCCAGCTTGATCTGGCCCAGTGTCCCTGTCCTGTCCCCCAGGTGGGCTGGCCCCATAAGAATGTGGTGAGGGAGCTGTTTCGGGAGCCAAACAGGGTCAGCTTAGTGCTGAAGAAGGTTCCGGTACCGGAGACACCCCCACCCGAGACACCCCCACAGGTACCTGCCGCCCGACCCTGCCCTCAGCCTGCTTTCAGATTCCTGTCACCAGTTGTATCACCTGTTTCTGGTTGTTCCCCAGACCCCTCCTCAGGCCCTGGGCTCCCCACAGCTGAGGGTCCCATCACTGGCTCTGGCCCCACTGTCTCCCAGGTAACAGGCTCTGCCCTGGGTATGTCATGGTTGGGGAGCCATAGGCTCATCTCATCCCCCCTTGCTCTCCTCTCCCCAGGGCCCCATCTGAAGACATCTTTGCCTTCAACCTGACTTCAAACCCAAGTCCTGGGTCCAGCCCTGCCTCAACAGGTTGTTTCAAAGTCCCACAGGTGGTAATACCACAGGAAAGACATGTGGGGTGCCTGGCTCTGACCCCTGGACTCTGATACCCCCACCCTACTGCTGGGCCTGAGGCTGGGCTCATGGACCCCCACTTCTCTTCTTCCCTGACAGACTCTGCCTCCCTTGACCCTGAGCCCCTGCCTGTCACCCCTGCACCCCCAGCCACACTCCCAGCAGGGGTAGCAGAGACCAGTGGACCCCCAGGAGACAAGGTAAGCTGAGGGGCTCAGCAAGGAGGGGTGTGGTTCTGGACCCAGACCCTTCTCTAATCCGCTCCGGTCCTTTCAGAGTCCTGCCCCTGGTCGGAAGAAATCAAAAGGTATGAGATGCACCCGACCGTGTGGGGGCCCCTGACACGAGGAGCTCTTAGAAGTCTTTCCGGTGCTGGCAAAACCACCCCCCATACACACACGCTTCACACACAGCCTCTTCTGCAACGAGCTCTGTTTCTTGGGTCAGACAGACCTGTGCTCCCAGCCTGGGTCTCTCGTAAGCTCTGGGACTTTAAGCTAACAGCCTGCCCTCCGTCCTTTCATTTCCTCACCTCTAAACTGGGGAGAGTCCTTCCTCAGAGCTGACAGGTACAACATTCCAAGCATAGAGTATGGGTTCAGAAATATCAGCTGCGGGTGCTCTCATAGTGGGCAGGGGAGCAGATTTGGGGGTCCAGGGTGCCTTGCCAGCCCCTCACTGACTGGCCGTGCTGTGCCGCTGCAGGCGTGGCCACGCGGCTGAGCCGCCGGCGGGTGTCATGCCGGGAGCTGGGCCGGCCAGACTGTGACGGCTGGCTCCTGCTGCGCAAGGTGCCCGGTGGCTTCATGAGCGCTCGCTGGCGCCGCTGCTGGTTTGTGCTCAAGAGACACACGCTCTACTGGTACCGCCAGCCCCAGGTGAGACCCTGCACACACACATAAGCAAATGAGTCACCTCAGGGCCACAGTTCTTGTTCCTACTCCACCATCTACTCCCATCTATGGTCACAGGCGGCCACAAACCCTCATGAGTCCCAGTGTTCCTGTTTCTTAAATGGGGACACTCTTCAAAGAGAAATGAGCTATGTGTGCAAAAGCACCTTTCCTTCCTCTTCCATTATTCTGTCCATCCTAGCGACAGGCCGTTTGTTCGATTGTTTGTTCATTCAGCAAACATTCAGGCGCCTACTGTGTACTCAGTTCCGGGCTGGCACTGAGGGCACAGGGAAGACTTGGACAGTTCTTGCCCCGGGCTGGTGGGGGAGATGGTGAAAACTCACTCAAGGACAGTACAGGGAGCACATGCTCTGACGAAGGAGAAGCCCAGGGGGTGGGTGGGAGCCCACGGAGGTGGCCAGTCCAGCCCGAGGAGTGGCAAAGGCTTCCTGAGAAATCAGTGCCTGAGGTTAGTCAGAGGGGAAGGAGAAAGCAAGCCAGAAGGGAGAAGAGCCTCTGCGGAGCCCAGTGGTTAAGCAGCTTCGTCTATGCTTCTTGACCGAACAAGTGCAGGAGCAGGCTCCTCTTTTGTGGCTGTTTCTCTGGATCTCTTTGGCTCCCCTTTCCTGGCTCAAAGGCACCCCTTGGTCATACCCCCTGCCCCCACCTCAGATTTCTGCCCTGAGCTCCTGACACTGAGAGGTTTGTGGTTAGAGAGCCCAGGAGATGCCCTCTGTGGGCAGTGGCCTCAGGATCCTGTCTGGACCTTGAGAGTACTGCGGCTTCCTGCTGACCCTCACTGTGATACCCCCAGGATGAAAAGGCTGAGGGCCTCATCAATGTCTCCAACTACAGTCTGGAAAGTGGTCATGATCAGAAGAAAAAATAGTTAAGTCCTGGGTGTGATGGGCTGGGTGGAGGGGAGGTGGGGTGGAGAGAAAGGAAGATATAAAGTGGCAGTAGGAGTGGGGTAGGGGCAGCAGGGGGCTGGGACTCCCAGGCAGCCCCTCTGGGTTCTAGATGGGCATGCCCAGGCTGAGTGAGGTCCCTCTGCTCCCTGGCAGTGTGTTCCAGCTCACCCATGAAGTGTACAAACCCTTCATCTTTGCTGCTGATACCCTAACAGATCTGAGCATGTGAGTGTCACCTTCCCCACCCCCAAACTCCCTCACGAGTGCCTGGGAGCCTGGATTAAAATCTCAGCTCCCTGCTAGTGGTTGATCAAGGCACTCACTTTTCTTCTCATCATCTATGAAATGGGCTGATAAGAGTTCCTACCTCTCAGAGTTGCTCTGAGGATTAAATTAGAAGATCATGTTGGGGAAAGGCCCTTGGCATACAGGAAATGGAAATTCCCTGACACCCATTTGCCCCTCCACAGGTGGGTGCGCCATCTCATTACCTGCATTTCCAAGTACCAGTCTCCAGGCCAGGCTTCCCTACCCCGAGAGGAAGGTGGGTGTCTCACTGTGCCTCACTGAGCCTCTGCCTTTCCTGGGATGGGGGCTGAGAACTCAAATGCCCTAACCCACTTCCTGGCCTCCCCAAACCCTGTGAAGCTTAGTGGGTTCCCCAACTGCTCTTGTCTACCCCAGACTGCTACAGTGAGACGGAAGCAGAAGACCCTGATGATGAGGCTGGGTCCCGCTCTGCCTCGGTGAGTAGGGGACTGCTGGGGAGTGAATAGCAGGGCATAGAGCTCAGACTGATAGCTTCCTCTCCTTCCACCGTGCCCATAGCCCAGCCCTGCCCCAGCTGGGAGTCCACTCCATGGAGACACATCACCTACAGCCACCCCCACACAGGGCAGCCCACGGACTTCCTTTGGCCTTCCAACAGGTGCTGTGCTGGGGGTGAGAGCTGAGATGGAGGGCTGGGGCTGGGACGACCACACCCTCATCCTGCTCTCCCCTCCCACAGACAACAGTGAAGGGACATTAGAAGGAATGGTACAGGGGCTGAGGCAGGGTGGCCTGTCCCTCCTGGGCCAGCCACAGCCCTTCACTCACGAACAATGGCGGAGCTCTTTCCTGCGGCGCAACCGAGACCCGCAGCTCAATGAGCGAGTGCACCGTGTGCGGGCACTGCAGAGCACACTCAAGGTCAGCTGGGCCCACTGGACATGGCAGGAGGCTGGGTTTGGCTCTGGTTCCTGGCCCACACTCTGGGCTCAGCTTTGGGCTGGGCCGAGTTCTAGGTTCCTGATTTGAGGACCCAGGCTAGACTGGGCCAGGTGCTGGATTCTAGGCACTGGACTCCAAAGTTAGCTCTGGGCTCAGGCTCTGCCACCCTCCCCAGGTGATCATGGCACCTTAGTCCCTACTGTCCTCACAGGCAAAGCTGCAGGAGCTACAGGCCCTGGAAGAAGTGCTGGGTGACCCCGAACTTACTAGAGAGAAGTTCCTGCGGTGGAAAGAGCAGAACCAGGAGCTCTACTCAGAGGGCCTGGGGGCCTGGGGAGTGGTGCAGGCCGAGGGCAGCTCCCAAGTCCTGACTTCTGACTCCAGAGAACATTCTGACCACCCTCTGCCCTCTGAACCTGAGGAGCACTCCCATCTCTGCCCTCTGACCCCAGAGAGCAGCCTCCAACATCCTGACCTCTGACCCTGGCCAGCACCTAGTTCCTGACCTCTGGCCCTGAGGACCACCTTCATCCCCAGCCTCTGACATGTCTAGGACAGAGCATCGTTGGTTCTGTTCAAAACTGGAAGTAGAAGTGGTTCATGGTTTCACCTCAGCCTGATAACCCTCTGTCTGACTGTCCACCATTTCTGCTCCCTTCTCCCCTGGGGAGGGGTAAAGTAACGTGAGCTCTGTTTCACCCTCTCCCACCTTGGCAACAAAGGAGTGGGAGGCTGAGCTGAAAGAAACTCTCTCCCATCCATCCATCCTCTGACCTGTGGAGGCACAAACCTGCCCCCCTTGGTCCTTTGGCACTTCTCCCCTCCCCAAACCAGTCTGTGCAGGCATTCTTCACTTTACCAAATAAAGTCAATTTCTCTATCATGAATCTACATGTGCCTTTGACTTCCATATTAGAATCAGGAATCTGTTCCATAGGGGACAGAAGGAAAAACTGTCAGGGGTAGGCGCTCTTGGTAGCTAGCCCACTGGCCTGGGCTCTGCATGCAGCTCCTGTGTACTAGGATGGGGATTGCTAATCCAGGGCTCGAGAGGGCTTCTACTCATGTCCATCTGTTGCCAACCCTTTGGAGACCAGAGGGTGCTTTCCTGCCCCATATGAGGGGGACAGTGAGAAATAGAGACCAGCCTTTCACTCTCTAGATAGGGAACATACCTTGCATGGAAGGGCAGGGTGGGCCCCTGGAGACCGGAGTGGTAGGATAGCGTAGCCAGTGGGGTGGGGTGCAGGCTATGGTTTGCTAGGAGGAAGGCCCTGAGGTGAAACATTTTCTCTTCTTAACTCAATGTCACCTCCAGCTCCTAGATCCAGAGCAGGGACACACCCATCTCCATCCAGGTTGTAGAGGAGACCTGACCTGCTCCCATCAGCCTCTGACCTCTGACTCAATCCAAGGTCCTTAGTGTCCCTGGCCTCCTCTGTGGGGTACTGAGGGGGTTCAGTGGGAGGAGCTTCTCTCGAGATTGGAATTCCTTGGTGGAATGCAAATAGCTGGAGGTCACAGAGGCTTCTATGATATCACCACGAGGGGGAGCAAGACCGCTTGGAATAAAGTTTCTTCGAAGAGTAGGAGGAGACTGAGCTACTATGACCGATAACTGGTGGCAGCAAAGGGCCAGGACGGCCACTACCAAGATCAGATCTTTGAATGTCATGGTAGGTGGCCCCTGTCTGGCTCCATCATTTAATCTGGGCATCCCAGAGTCAGGTGGGGCACAGGAGGACTGTACTGGATCCAGGGGGGTGGGGACCGCACTGATGGGCCCATTCCTCACCCTTGCAGAAGAGGTTCGTTCAGGAGCCCCAAGTCCGGCCAGAGGAGCAAGTGCTTATCAACTGCCGAGACATCACTAGCAGAAAGGTAAGGCCAAGGCTGGGGCTACAGCTAACCTCACTCCCACAGTGACCCTTTTGCAGCTGTGCCCATGGGGCAACAGGCCTTGTAATACCTCTGTCCCTTTTGCCTTCTAAATATCCTTCCAGAGGACAGTCCCCAGCAGTAATCCCTACAGTCACACCCCCATGATATGTTAGTAACCTCCTGTCAGTGCCCCCCACAGAAACCCCTATATAATGACAGTCACACACCAGCAGAGACCCTAAAAGAGTCTCCCTTCTAATGACCCCCGTAAAGATCCCCCAGCAATGAACCATTTAGGTAATGACCTCTACACTGATACCCCATTCCATGATTCCCTCTTAGGCCCCTTCCCCCCAGAGTGGCCTTCCTCAGGGACCCCCTTCACTGAGAGCAAACACCCAGGCAGAGGCCTCCTGCAGTGATACCTGCCTGAAGAAAGGTCCTCCGCCCTCTCCCAGGATGCCTTGGAAATACAGGAGTTCATCATTGAAATGTTTGTCAAGAAGCTTCTCCGACACCCGGCCTTTCAGCTGCTGCTGACCCTACTGCTGGTGGTCAACGCCATCACCATCGCACTCCGCACCAACTCCTTCCTTGGCCAGGTGGGACTCTAGCCTGAGCTCTGCACCCATTGATCTAATGGGGTCCTGGGTAAGACACTTCCCTCTCTGGGCCTCAGGCTCTTCATCTGTCCATGATGATTGGATCAGCTGTTCTTCAAGGGCCTGTCAGCTCTGACCCTCCAGGGGTCTAGAAATAAAGGAAGATATTGTGACGGAGGGCGCCCAGCTTGGAGGAATACTTTGCATTTGTACAGGAAGAGCAGAAGAAGTGGTGTGAGGAAGGCAGGCAAATGGATAACTTATAGGGAAGGGTATCCTGTTTTATTTATTTTAAATTTTTTTATTGATTTTGAGAGAGAGAGGAAAGGAAAGGAAGAGAGAGAAACATCAATGTGAGAGCGAAACATCGATCAGCTGCATCCTGCACATCCCCTACCGGGCATGTGCCCTGACTGGGAATTGAACCAGCAACCTTTCGGTGCACGGGACAATGTTCGACCAACTTAGCCACACAGGCCAGGGCATGGGCATCCCATTTTAATCAGTAGTCACTAAGAGAGCATCAGTCTGTGCCAGGCACTGCACTCAGTGTCAGGATTCCAGGTATGAACACAGCAGACCCAGTTCTGTCTCAGACAGACACAAACATGTCATTATAAATGCCTGAGTGTCCAGAGCACATGGGAGCTCAGAGACGGCATCAAACCTGATGGGTCAAGGAAGGCTTTCTGGAGAAAGGGACACTTAAGCTGAGAATAAAGAATGAATAGAGCCCAGCCAGCATGGCTCAGTGGTTGAGCATCTACCTATGATCCAGGAGATCGCTATTCAATACCCTGGTTGTGGGCTCGATTCCCAGTAGGGGACATGCAGGAGGCAGCCGATCAATGACTCTCTCATCACTGATGTTTCCATCCCTCTCCCTTTCTCTCTGAAATCAATAAAGATATATATTTTTTAAAAAAGAATGAGAAGGTGACCAGGCAGAGAGAGGTGAGGAAGAGTGTTTGGGACAGAAGAAATTGCGTGTGTGTTCTATGTGTCCAACCTGAAGTCCACTGTGACGTTGGCCTTATCCTTGATATGTTTTCTTACAAAACGTATACTAATTACATGGATTGTGCTATTTAAAAGTCAATATTTTTTAAATGTCCAATGTGGTGGCTGATGAGTTCAGAAAGGTGGTCAGCGGCAAGGTCTTCACTTTGTGTCAAGGAGGGTAGCCTTTATCCTATGTCATTTGGAAAGCCAGGGAAGGATTTAAAGCATGGAAGTGACATAGCCAGGCATGTGTTTAGAAAACTTACACTGACTGCCACACTGTGGGCCATGGAAGGAAGAGTATCAGGAATGGGAAAAGGTGGCCCTAGCTGGTTTGGCTCAGTGGTTAGAGCATCAGCCCACAGACTGAAGGGTCCCGGGTTCAATTCCAGCCAAGGGCACATACCTCCTCGGTTGCAGGCTCAATCCCTGGCCCTTGTTGGGGCATGTGCAGGAGGCAACCAACCGATGTGTCTCTCTCACATCAATGTTTCTCTCTCTCTCTTTCTTCCACTCTCTCTAAAAAGCAATGGGAAAAATATCCTCAGGTGAGGATTTAAAAAAAAAAGAATGGGAAAAGATGCAGCAGGCAGGGCCATGTTGGGGACATTCAGGTGAAATATGACAGGGCTTGGCCAGGCCACTTGCAGTGAGTAAAAAGAGACCACATGCATCAGAAGTTCCCTAGGAGTCAGATCCACGGGCCTTTCAGATTGATTTTCTTTATAGCAAACACTTAGCAAGTACTGACATGTGCTGTCTTGTTTAACATCTGTCATCGTCTCACACACAGAAAGGGAGAGCACAGGACAATGCCCAACCAACTGAGCCACACTGGCCAAGACTGCTAACTGTCTGACCTTGGGCACCTCTCGTTTCCCATCTCTAAGATGAGAATACAACCTACTTTGTAGGATGGTGGTGACAGTAAAGCAAAAATGATGCTGGCGTGGTCTTAGCACAGCGCCTGGCATGGACACGCAAAGTGTGCTCTAAAGGAGCTACAAAGATGCTGAGGATGAAGAGCAGCAGGAATATGGGCCTTCCCCCCCCCCCCA